GTGCTGCACAGGTCTTTTTCTTTCTCTTCTTGATCTCAGCAGAATTTTATCTTCTCACCATCATGGCCTATGACCGCTACGTTGCCATCTGCCAACCCCTGCACTACGGGACCCTCCTGGGCAGCAGAGCTTGTGTCCACATGGCAGCAGCTGCCTGGGGCATTGCGTTGCTCAATTCTCTCCTGCACACAGCCAACACATTTTCCCTACCACTCTGCGGAGGCAATGCTGTGGACCAGTTCTTCTGTGAAATCCCCCAGATCCTCAAGCTCTCCTGCTCAGGATCCCACCTCAGGGAAGTTGGGCTCCTTGTGGTTAGTGCCTGTTTAGCATTTGGGTGTTTTGTTTTCATTGTTCTGTCCTATGTGCAGATCTTCAGGGCCGTGCTGAGGATCTCCTCTGAGCAGGGACGGCACAAAGCCTTTTCCACGTGCCTCCCTCACCTGGCCGTAGTCTCCCTGTTTATTATCACTGCCATGTTTGCCTACCTGAAGCCCCCTCCATCTCCTCCCCATCCCTGGACCTGGTGGTGTCATTTCTGTACTCGGTGGTGCCTCCAGCAGTGAACCCCCTCATCTACAGCTTGAGGAACAAGGAGATCAAGGATGCAGTATGGAAACTGATGACTGGATGATTTTCAAAAGCAATGAAATGCTTATCGCCTTCCACTAATAAATCATATTTTAATTCAGTACAGGACAAGCCCATTTTTGTTTTGTTTTGTTTTTTTTGTGGTTTTCGTTGTTGCTTTTAGGTTTATTTACTTTATTTTATTTACATGATATTGTCCATAAGGAAATGTCATTGTTTGTGCCATTTTTAATTACGCATCTATCAACTTCTGTATGACCAAGAGGCCGTGTAAATAAGGAGCCCTTCTGTCTGTGTTTAAAAACAATCATGAACCCTGCTGTGACTTTCCTGTGTTCCTTCTTTTGAGACCTACCCTGGAGGTACATGGACAGTGTCTGTATGCAGAGATGGAGGGGAAAAGCATCCGTGCAGAGCAGCACTGCCAGGGAGCACCACTGCTTGGTCTCATTTATTCTCTCTTTCCTCCTCTGCCCTTGCACTGGTGAAATGCCTGAGTGCAGCTTGGTCCCATTCCTCCTGGGTGGGAGCTCTGTGACCGCAGGCAGGGACAGGCAGTGGGCACCTCTGGGACAGAGCGGGCCTCCACAACAGCGTTTCCATGAAGAAAGGTGATCTTCGCAGGGCACTGCCTGAAGGCGCAAGTTTTGCTTCAAAGCTGCTCTGACGAACATGCCCAGGAAAGTGACCTGCAGATTAAAATACCATTGAGCTGATTGACATCCCCTGGGAAACCCCCTGAATTCAGCACTGGGAGGTACTTCCCTGAACCGTGGTCCCTGTGTCCATTCCTCATGCCTCGGGGCATCTCCCACGGGTGCAGAGCAGGGCGAGCACCGCAGGGCTGAGGTGCCTCCCAGCCTCTGGGGGTGGCAGCAGGAGTTCAGAGAGACACTATGGCTCCTGCAGTGCACTGCCTCTGCGTGTGCAAGGGAAGGACTCGTGTCTCTGAACAGCCCTGTGTGTAGGTGTATTGAACTAAAAGAGAGTAGATTCAGACTAGATATAAGGAAGAAAGTTTTTACAATGAGATTGGTGAAACCCTGGAACACATTGTCCAGAATGATGATAGATGCCCCATGCCTGGAATGATTTGAGGTCAGGTTGGACAGGGCTCTGATTAACCAGCTCTAGTTGAAGATGTCCCTGCTTATTGCAGGGGGATTGGACCAGGTGACCTCTAAAGGTCCCCTCGAACTCAAACCATTCTGTGATTCTGATTCTATGACCTCTCTAAAAGGAAATGTCTTCCTCTCGAACTTTCCCATCCCACAGACGTGCTCAATATCACACCCTCCTAAAACAATGTTTGCGGCATTGGACACCATAGGCCTGCCCAAGGCCTCCCTACTGAGATAAAACAGAAGCACAAAGCATTCATCCTTGCAGGTGGAACATTACTGTGCACCCTGGGTGCAGGCCTTGTCTTTCCTGAGAGCTTTCCTCAGGTCCTCCCTGACCTCCCTGTTCCACAGGCTGTAGACGAGGGGATTGTCGTGGTTTAGGCCTGATTGACAGCCAACCACAATGCAGCACCTCTCTCTCCCTTCCCCTCCGGCAATGAGAAGGGACAGAGAGCCAGGCTTGGGGTCCAAGATAGGACTGGGATGGGGGAAAATCCCCCTTTTATGATCATGAGCAAAAGGCAGACTCGTTAGGGGAAGGGAAAAAAAGAACATACATTTATTACAGACACTAACAACACATACCAGAGTAGGACAGTGAGAAGCATTGCCACATCTTGAGAACACCTTCCCCCCACCCCTCCCTTCTTCCCGGGCTCAGTTCTGCTCCCGATATCTCTACCTCCTCCCCCAGTGGCGCAGGGGCAGGGAATGGGGGGTGCAGTCAGTGCTGCCACTTCCTTCATCTTCGGTGAGGGGAGTGTCCAAAACTTATTACCCCCTGCTCCATCGTGGTCCCCCTCTCACAGGAGACAGTCCTCCACAAACTTTCTCTGACTTGAATTCCTCCCATGGGCCGCAGCGTTCCCCACACTGCTCCGTCATGGGTCACTAACTTCCTCCGACTAGATTCTCTCCCACGGCTGCAGCCCTTCCCGAGCTGCTCCGGCGTGGGACTCCCCCGCATGCTGCAATCCTCCCAGCACTGAATTACAGCAGCGGGGCTACCTTTTTCCATGAGACCCCGGCCTTCTTCGGGCACAGAACCTTGATCAGCCAAGCAGGAATGACAGGCTGTAAATCAATGTCTGCTCCACCGTAGATCTTCATGGGTGGCAGGGGGGGGCCGCCCTGCCGTCTCACCACAGGATACAGGAGGGTCTCTGCTCCGGCACACCTCCCCCCTCCTTTCTTCCTCCGTTCCTCCACTGACCTTGGTGTTCACGCAGCTGCAGCAACTCCTCCTCACAAGTCCCACTGCCCGTCACCACGTCCCTTCTTAAATACGTTATCGCAGAGGCGCAGCCGATTGGCTCAATTTCCCAAACAGAAGTGGAGCTGACGTGGAGCTGGGGGAGCTTCGAGAAGCTTCTCACAGGGGGCCGCCCCGATAGCCCCCTCCCCTGCCACCAAAAAACTCCACCACTCACTCAACCCAGGACATTCCACCCCTCGCCTCTGCGAATCACGTATTTAAGAATTAAGAGATCCAACATTCAGTACAGAAAACAGTATACACATCAACATCAGAGCAAAGAGTAGGCAAAACCAGACTGAAAGGAACTTCCCCACACCCATATACTGACAGAATACTGAGACACAATACAGAACATCCACCCATACACCACACCTGAAAAAAAAAACTTCCCCACAATTACAACTACAGACATTACAGAGATCATTCCACTAACGGAGTTCAGTCTGTATTTTGCTCATTACCTCTCCCAATTAATATCCTTATCAAATCGCAACCCTCTGCCCCACGTTGGGCGCCAAAAAACTGTCGTGGTTTAGGCCTGATTGACAGCCAACCACAATGCAGCACCTCTCTCTCCCTTCCCCTCCGGCAATGAGAAGGGACAGAGAGCCAGGCTTGGGGTCCAAGATAGGACTGGGATGGGGGAAAATCCCCCTTTTATGATCATGAGCAAAAGGCAGACTCGTTAGGGGAAGGGAAAAAAAGAACATACATTTATTACAGACACTAACAACACATACCAGAGTAGGACAGTGAGAAGCATTACCACATCTTGAGAACACCTTCCCCCCACCCCTCCCTTCTTCCCGGGCTCAGTTCTGCTCCCGATATCTCTACCTCCTCCCCCAGTGGCGCAGGGGCAGGGAATGGGGGGTGCAGTCAGTGCTGCCACTTCCTTCATCTTCGGTGAGGGGAGTGTCCAAAACTTATTACCCCCTGCTCCATCGTGGTCCCCCTCTCACAGGAGACAGTCCTCCACAAACTTTCTCTGACTTGAATTCCTCCCATGGGCCGCAGCGTTCCCCACACTGCTCCGTCATGGGTCACTAACTTCCTCCGACTAGATTCTCTCCCACGGCTGCAGCCCTTCCCGAGCTGCTCCGGCGTGGGACTCCCCCGCATGCTGCAATCCTCCCAGCACTGAATTACAGCAGCGGGGCTACCTTTTTCCATGAGACCCCGGCCTTCTTCGGGCACAGAACCTTGATCAGCCAAGCAGGAATGACAGGCTGTAAATCAATGTCTGCTCCACCGTAGATCTTCATGGGTGGCAGGGGGGGGCCGCCCTGCCGTCTCACCACAGGATACAGGAGGGTCTCTGCTCCGGCACACCTCCCCCCTCCTTTCTTCCTCCGTTCCTCCACTGACCTTGGTGTTCACGCAGCTGCAGCAACTCCTCCTCACAAGTCCCACTGCCCGTCACCACGTCCCTTCTTAAATACGTTATCGCAGAGGCGCAGCCGATTGGCTCAATTTCCCAAACAGAAGTGGAGCTGACGTGGAGCTGGGGGAGCTTCGAGAAGCTTCTCACAGGGGGCCGCCCCGATAGCCCCCTCCCCTGCCACCAAAAAACTCCACCACTCACTCAACCCAGGACAGGGATTGACCAGGGGCGTGAGGACAGTGGCAGAAGAGGGAGAGCACTTTGTTGAGCTGCCTCAGCGGGGCTGTTCTGGGCAGCAGGTAGACAGTGAGGAGGGTGCAGGAGAAAAGAGAGATGACAATGAGGGGAGAGGATCGGGAGGAGGTCTTCTGCTGCCCATGCTGGATGGGATCCTCAGGATGGCAGCTATGATGCACACATGGGATGCAAAAGCAAACAGGAAGGGGAAGACAACGCTCAGGAAAGACAGGATGAAGGATGTGAGTGTGACCACGCTGGTGCCACTGCAGGCAATCTCCAGCAGAGAGGTCACAGAACAAGTGGCCAGTTGCCCTGGGGCCACAGAACTTCAGCTGGGATAAGAAGACTTTGACTGTTGCACACACCAACATAGCCAAGGTGCAACCACCAGCTGAAGGCAGACCTTCCAGGTCATGAAGCCTGCATAGAGCAGGGGCTGGCACGTGCCCAGATACCAATCATAGGCCATCATGGCCCGCAGGTAACACTCGGCAGTTGCAAAGCAGCCAGAGCAGTAGAGCTGAGCCATACAGCTGTGAGCAGAAATGGTCCCATCCCCATTCAGCAAGCTGGCCAGCAGCCGGGGCAGGAAGGTGGAGCTGTAGCAGGTCTCCAAGGAGGACAGATTGCCCCAGAAGAAGTACGTGGGGGTGTGCAGATGCTGCTCTGACAGCACCAAAACAGCGATGAGGATGTGCCCAATCACAGTCATGATGAGTGATAGGAGGAAGAGTGGAGTCTGGAGTGAGGGCACATTCCCCATTGCCCTCAGCAGGAACTTTGTGGGTGATGTCTGATTCTCCTCTTCCCATTTTTCCATACAGCTTTGTTTCTCTTTCTTCCCCCACTTGCCAGGAAGGAGGCTTGTGACAAAATACCTGCATCTTTGCGATAAGTAGAAGAACTGTGATGGAAATTACTGATTAAAAAGGATACAACAACAAAAAAAAAAATCTCAACTACTTTCCCTTGTTCATAGTCTATTTTTCTCTCTCCATAAACTAAATTAAGGGACCTGGGTTCTTCAAGACAACAGACCCACTTGTCCCAAGAGCACTCCTTCTGACCACAGGGCTGACTTGCCCCATGGAGCTGCCTCTTCCTCATGCTGGAATGCAAACATCATGTGCATTTGCTCACATTTTGACATCCTGCTTTCCTGTGCTCGGGGGATTCTCAACATGACCAGAATAGCTGTTTAGAACTGAGATTCTCTGTGCTCTTCCAAGGAAAACCAGTGCCATGTTTTGAAATAAATTGTTTCTGTGAAAAGATCAAGGCAGATGTCCTTTCTCAAACTGGGAGAAGGCTGAGCACAGCTCTGGGCTAGTGATCTTGGCTCTCAGAAACGCTGCCCTTCTGAGGAGAGCATTCCTGCCCTGAGCAGGCCAAGTTCTTGCATTGACAAAGACCAGGTCAGGAGTTACCTGCTCAGACAAAGGGTGTGTTCAATGGGATCATGACAGAGGATGCTTGAGCCCACACTGTGTGTGAGACAGTAAAAGAAAAGATGAGAAACAAAGAGAAAAAAGGAAATTAAAGAAAATTATAACTGTGCATCAACCAGAAATCTCATGAGAGACTTTGTGCAGGCAGGAAGGAAAATTCCAGTGAGGAGCACTCACTCCCCATGCTCACCTCCTCAGCACAGGGTCCCCAGGGCTTTGGGGCTGCCCCCCTGTACATCCAGCCCAGCAGCAGGACCTGGCACAGCCAGCTGTGCTTGCAGGGCTCCCTGCTCAGCACTGCTGGGCATTGGGAGGAGTGTCCCCGGGGTGCCTGGGGCTGAGGTGGGAAAGTAGCAGGCTCAGGGCCATGGGCGATGCCTGGGACATGCCTGAGGGCACAGCCAGGGAAAGTGCCTGCCTGGGAAGCAGCCTCACCAGCTGTGCTCCTTGAAATACATGGTGCTCTCAGTGTTGTCAAACCCACCTCCCAGCAGGGAATGTTTGGCTTCTGGAAGAGAGGAGGACAAACAGCTTCAGCAGAGCTGACGAGGATGAGTAAAGCCTCTAGCTCTCCCCACTGGATGAGAGAGTCCATGTCAGAAAGCTGAGGGTCTGAGCTTGTGGAATGGTGAGGAAGGGAGAGAAAAAGGAGAAAGCTGAGAAAGGACAGAGCCCTGTGGGAGGAGAAGGGCTCAGGTGATCTCGACCCAAAGACCCTGCACTGACTTTTCCCCCATCCCAGCTGAGGTGGGTGAGTGCCAGGGCTGGCTCCAACAGCCAGCCCAGCTGGAACTCAGCACCACCAGCCCCTCCCCAGCATCTCTGCTGGAAGTTACTGGATCTCAGGGGATCTGGGGAAGGAGGGAGCTGGGCTGGGGACATGTGCAGCACAAGACAGGGCTGAGACTCAGCTCTCACTCACACACTTTCACTGCCCAAACACCCACAGCAAAATCAGCAGTTCCCTGACTCGGGACATCCAGCACCCACCTACAATGCTCAGCATGAAGGGTTGGCCTCTGTGCTGATGGTGCCTGGGAACAAAGACCTGGGGCCTCACTCTCTGCCTCTACCCCACCACATCTTCCCTACTGTGATCTCTCTGCAAACCCTGACTCAGACCTACTGTCCTGCTCTGCCCTTGCTCTCTTGCTCACCACATCTTGAGATTGACATGCCAGCAGCAAAAAATGCCCCATGTTCTACACTGTGACCTGGAGCTTTATAGCACCAGCAATTCCTTCAGTGACCCAGGCACAGCTCAGCTCTCCACAGGCACTGCAGGGAGGAAGCATTGCTAAGCTAGTTCTCAAAGCAGGCTGCAACTTCTGAACTGCTGGAAAGTTTGGAAAGTCTGTTGTGGCAAGGCCCTGCCTTTCCTGACAACCCTGAGTACTTTGAACTCCAGGTCAGGCTTCTCTAGAAAGGAGACTTCAGGCAAGGAAATCATCAGGATTCAGCAAAACTCCTGACAGAACCCCATAAGAGTTACCCAGAGTATAATCTCCATCACCTCCTTGAATTAGACACACACTGGGCTAGTTTTTCAAAACCAGACTTTTAAAGTAACAATACAGTCTAAGTACCTCAGTGCTGAGAGACAAGTTTCAAAGAGAAACAAAAATAGTTGAAGCTGTATCATCTGGATTTACAAATTCTCTATCAGCAGAAAGGAAGTCCCACAGCCTACGGGATGTTTCATTAGCTGGTCCTAGGGAAATTTGTTTTCTTGGGCCTCTTGGCTCCAGCCTACTGCATTCACATTGCTGACAAGGGGACAATTTCCAGTTCAGGCATCAAATTTTTCCCCATCCTGCCTGGAGATACAGAACAGCTCTGTCACACATCAGGCAGCATCTGGAATGAAGATGGAGGTAGTGTTAACTGAAATAGGTTTGGGCTAAAATGAAATCTCAAAATGTGATCTTGCATGAAAACACCTTTTTCAATTAGGCATAAGTTACACAACTGTGAGTCCAGATCTAGTTTGCAGAGTTTCTCACATCTCTCGATAAGGAAGGGTACGGTGCTGGGGAGAGGGGAGCACGCTTTGGTTTGCTAAAGCCCTGATGAGTGTCCAACACATTCCTTCCCTTGGCCTCTGCCATCTCATTCCCTGAGATGTAAACACCATGAGGCTTCTGTCAAGAATTCCTTCAGATGTTAGCATGATTTCCCTAAGAGTAACAGTACCTGAAAGAAAGAAAGAAACAAAGCAAAGTGAATTAATTACGTGTAAATTACTGCAATGTAGCATTCTGCTTGCTTTGTAGACATGCTGGGCAATGTCACTTCAATCAGTATTTGCAATGTAAGCCATCCTCAAGTAGCCCTTCCATAGCAGTTCTCATGAAGGGTGCTCTTGTAAAAGTCTCCTTTTGTGTCCCCAGGAGGCATGGGCACTGCTGATTTCCCTCTCCAGAGAGTGGCAGAGGCTGGATCCCCTTCTCAGGACAGACTCCTTGCCAGGAAGACACAGGCATGGGGGTAGCTCACCTGGTTTACACTGGCAATTCACTCAATATTCTTTTGGTGTACTCGTTTTTCTTTGACAAGTCTTAAAAACACTGAAGAATCAGAAAAAAAAAAAAAAAAAAAAAAAAAAAAGAAGAACTAATAGAAGTTAATCATCAAGGCAGGGAGGTTGGAACTAGATGATCTGTAAAGATCTCTTCCAGTCTAAACCATTCTGTGATTCTGTGATTTTATGACAAGCACCAACTTAAAATGTTGCCTGTGTTGTAGAGGAGCTCCATATATGTGAGCCACATTAAACAGGCCATGCCTCACTCCCCATCTTCCCGGTCAGTCACAGAATCATAGAATCATTTAGGTTGGAACATATTCTTAAGGTCATCAAATCCAGCCATTAAACTAACACTGCCAATCCCACCACTAAACATGGTCCCTATGTGCCATATCTACATGTCTTTTAAACACCTCCAACAATGGTGACACAACTACTTTCATGGGCAGCCTTTTCCAATGCTTTATAACCCTTCCAGGAAATAAATGTTTCCTCATATTCAATCTAAACCTCCCCTGGTGCAACTTGAGGCCATTTCCTCCTGTCCTTTCACTTGTTACATGGGAAAAGAAACTGGCCCAGACCTCACTGCAACCTCCTTTCAGGTAGTTGTACAGACCTGATAAGGGTGCTCCTGAGCTTCCATTTCTAAACACCCCAGTTCTCACAGTTGCTCCTGATAAGACTTGTGCTCTAGACCCTTCACCAGATTCATTACAGCTTCTTTGGTCACACTGCAGCACCTCAATGTCTTTCTTGTAATGAGGGGCCCAAAACTGATCCCAGTATTCAAGGTGCGGCCTCACAGTGCCCAGTACAGAGGGATTGATCACTGCCCTAATCCTGCTGGCCACAGCATTTCTGATACAAGGCAGGATGCTATTGGCTTTCTTGACCACCTGGGCACTCTGTTTGCTCGTTTTCAACCAGCTGTTTACCATCACACCCAGGTTCTTTTCTGCTGGGCAGCTTTCCAGCTACTCTTCCCCCAGCCTGTAGATTTGCATCAGGTTGTTGTGCCCAAAGTGCTGGCCCCAACACTGAGCCTTGCTGAAGCTCATACAATTGGCCTTTGCCCATCACTCCAGCCTGTCCAGACCCCTCTGTAGAGCCTTCTTAGATTGCAGCACATGAACACTCCCGCACAACTTGGTGTTGCCTGCAAACTTACTGATGGTGGACTTGATCCCCTCATCCAGATCACTGATAAAGATATTAATGAGAACTGGCCCCAATACTGATCCCTGGGGAACAGCACTTGTGGCCAGCTGCCTGCTGGATTGAACTCCGTTCACCACCACTCTTTGGGCCTGGCCAGATGCCAGGACCTTACAGTCTGGATGGCTGGTTTGACTGGTGGGGTTCAGAAGTTCATGGTGAATGAAGTTTTCTCTGCAGGCAGATCAGTAACACATGGAGTACTGCAAGTGTTCACCCTGGGATCTGTCCTGGCAAACATCTTTAGCAAGGACATGGAAGAACTGAAAGAGTGCACTCTCACTAAGACTGAAGATGCCACAGAATTGTGGAAGTAAGGGTCAATATGCTGGAGTGCAGAGTTGCCATCCAGGGAGATCTAGAGGGGCTGAGATGTTGTGGATTAATCACAGTAGACTGCTTAGGCTCACACAGCCACTCACTCATTCCTCCCCAGTGGGATGGGGGAGAAAATAGGAAGGGTGAACGTGAGAAAAATAATAGGTTGGGGTAAAGACAGTGAGAAAAATAATAGGTTGAGGTAAAGACAGTTTAATACATAAAACAAAGCTGTGTACAAGTGACAAGCAC